CCACCCAGAGCCCCGTGTGGGGCTTGAACTCACAAGCCATGAGATCATGACCTGAACCGAAGTCGGATGCTTAACCAACTGAGCCACCTGGACGCCCCTTCATTTTCTTTCTAGGAAAATGTTCTGTGGCTTTGCTCTTGTAGTTTTGCCAGCAGCCTTTCACATTGCGCATTGTATATGTGAGAACGAGACCAAGAAAATTGTTAGTACAGGGGCCTCGGCCTTTCGCACATTTTGATTTAAAGCTATTTTTATTGCACTGATATATCGTGGCGACAGTATTTATGGTATTATGACTCTAATATTTGTTTACTGTTGTATTTCACTTTTTGAAGGAACTTTAGAGTTAAGAGCAAGATTGCTCATGAGAAAAGGTTTGGAGGCATTTGGAGCCTTCCAGGCCAGCCATTCACCTAGTGAACTTTTCTGTGTTTCAGTTCCACATTCAGGGCCAGAGATGGTATCAGAAGGAATTTTCCCAGGAAATAATCTTTAATATCACTACCAGCAGTCAGGCTCCCGAGATGTGCTTGGACCTGCATCCGGGCACCAACTACAGTGTCCACGTCCAGGCTTTGTCTTCTGAATTTCCTGTGGTCCTCTCCCTGACAACCCAGATAACAGGTAAATCTTGAATAACAGCATTTGGATGAACGAAGTCACCACAGAGCCGTAGATGGGCCCAGATAGAGAGAAACACTATTGCTTCCTATCATTAAAGAATGAACTTGAAGATCGAGAGGAAAAAGGGCGTGGAACTGGAGAGACTACTGTAACTGTGACTGTAATATTTTATTCCTTAAAAAGGCAGCTGAAACAAACCATTAATGCGAATTAAATCCGGCTAGCATGTCTATGAATGCTGGTTACATTCCTTCCGGATATTTGAAATAGTTCAAACATTTCATACCTAAAAAGAATTTTCTCTCATTAGTACTGTTTCTCAGTAACATGAGTTAATTGTCATTCTGTTGCAAGTGCCTCAAGAGTCTGTCCTTTCCAGGGAGAAGTGATAGGCAGTCCCACTCTGGTCCCTGGAAAATTCACTTTCCTCTCATTTTCTTGTCTCTCTTCAAATCTGGGAGAGTTGAGCTAAGACTCGGAGTATTGCCTTCTTGTTTCTTACTTCACCGAGCAATTAGAAGTCATCACGGAGGACTTGCCTCTCCCAAGTCTCCCATTGCTACTCTCGTGCAGAACCGTGTGTTCTGTCTTCTCTCTGGTCCCCACTCCTCAGGTGACTGCTCCCCTCAATGGGTGTGTTGGATCCCATCCCTTCCTGCCCAGTCATCATCCCCAGTAGAGAAATCATCCCAGCACTGCACAAGCATGTTGTAGGATCTCCATTTTTAAATGAAAACCGAAGAAACTAAAAAACTCACTTCCTTTGAGCCCGTATTCCCCCCAGCTACTTCTTTCAGCATCCCCTTTACCATAAAACTCCTTGAAAGAAGTGTCTGTTCTATAGACTCCACATCCTTACTTCAGGTACTTCCTTTAACTGTTTCCAAACTGGAGGTGGTTGTCCTGGCCACACTGCTTTACTGAAAGTGTCTCCATCTTGCAAAATCTGCTGCCCAATTTTGTTTTTATTTAATTTTTGTTCCCTTCCCCGCCCACCCCCACCCCCTCCCCCACCATAGCATTTGGCATTCCTGCCTTCTTGAAATACAGTTTCTCTGGGCTTTTAGGTCCTCCTGCCTCACTGGCTGCTCCTTCTCAGTCCTCTTTGCTGGCTCCTCTTTGCTCAGTCCTCTTTTACGGATGCCCTCTCTGCCTGTTCCTCTTCCTTTTTCTTCATTATCTACCCCTTCTGCCCAGCTAAGAATATTGCTTGTATGCCGAGGATTCCCAGATATGTATCCTAGTCCCAGATTCTCCCCTGAGTGCCATGCTCATATATCCAGTCATCTTTTATTTTTTTTATTTTTTATTTAAAAAAAAATTTTTTTTCAACGTTTATTTATTTTTGGGACAGAGAGAGACAGAGCATGAACGGGGGAGGGGCAGAGAGAGAGGGAGACACAGAATCGGAAACAGGCTCCAGGCTCCGAGCCATCAGCCCAGAGCCTGACGCGGGGCTCGAACTCACGGACCACGAGATCGTGACCTGGCTGAAGTCGGACACTTAACCGACTGCGCCACCCAGGCGCCCCTATCCAGTCATCTTTTAAACAACTTCTTGCACACCCAATTGACAAGTCCAAGAGGATTTTGATTTCTCAACTCTTCTCTCACCTTCAAAGCCATTTTCCATCCAGGCTTCCCTATCTTGGTTATTGGCATTCCTGTTCACCTGTTGCTCAGGCGAAAAAGCTTCTACCCTTCCCGACCAACTTCTGCTTTTGTTTCTAAAATATATTTGGAATCCACCCACTTCTCTCCATCTTCACCTTCACCACAAAGCAACCTTATCCAAGTCAGCAACCTCTTGCTTGGACTCCTACACTGACTTTCTTACTGGTCTTTCTGCTTTCACGGGTGCCTGTCAGTCTCCCACCCCTCACCCCCACTCCCAAGTATGGTGAGACCATAACTTTAAAAAGATGGTCTGAGTCTGACTTCTGACTCAGAAGTCAGAGTGATCTTTTAAAAATGCATAGGAGAATGTGTCATCCCCAGCTCAAAACCGTCCAATGAGTTTGCATTAGCATTAGAATAGAATCCACGTTCTTACCATGAAGCACGGAGTCTGGCTCCCTGCCTCCCTGACTACATCTCTGCTCTCTCTGTTTCTCGCTAGCATCTGCTGCCCGCCTGCCTTCTTCGCTGTTCCTCAGATGGGTCAAACCTGTTTGTGCATCCAGGCCTTTCCATTTACTGTTTACTGTTCCTGGTGCACACTCTGCACATGGCTTCTTTATAATCATCCAGGTCTCTGCTCAGATGCCAGTACCTTAGAGAAGCTCTCCCTGCCCGTCCTTTCAAAAATAACCTCCGTCTCCACCCCATCATTCGCTATCCACTTATCCTGTGTGAATTTCATCATAGAACTTGTTTTCAGAACTTGTATTTAAAAAAATTTTTTTAACGTTTATTTATTTTGAGAGAGAGAGAGAAGGGGAGAGAGAGGGAGGGAAGGAGGGAGGGGCAGGCTGCAAGAGCAGGGGAGGAACAGAGAGAGGGGGAGACAGAATCCCAAGCAGGTTCCAGGCCGTCAGTGCAGAGTCCGACGCAGGGCTTGAACCCACAAACCATGAGATCATGACCTGGGCCCAAATCAAGAGTCGGACGCTTCACCGACTAGGCCACCCAGGCACCCCCAGAATTTGTGTTTTTTAGTTTACTTGTTTATTTGCTTTTCCCCGACTAAGCTCCTTGAAGGCAGAGATGTAAAGATAGTGCTGGCACATAGCACAACAAACCCTGAATGGCCATTGCATGGTATTGGCATTGAGGGGATGGCTGGTGAGTTAAGAAAGGCTTTCAAAAAAAAAAAAAAAAAAAAAAGAATTTACTAAGTTTTAGGCTGGAAGGAGAAGTAATGTCCAATTGGGCATCTCTCTGTGGTGACTTAGTCAAATGAATACCTATTTAGTTTCCTGCTCTGTGGTCCTTACCGTGTTTGGCTGGTTTGTACTGCTGATTTAAATCAGTATTTCAAATTTTTTGAGTTGGATAAGGGAGTCTCTTCTTGAGGAGACATTTATTTTAATCTTGTTTTGTAGGCTAACTGTAGCCCCCTTAGCTGAAGCGCCCTGTACTCATGGCCACCAGGGGACACTGTTGAGCTATTTAAGTCCATTGAGACCCTTCAAAAAGTTCTTTGTGACAACGGCTGCATATTTTCCAACTCTACCCTACTTTAAAGAATTTGAAATTTAAAAAAGTGAAAAATTCAAATTGTTATGATCTTTTCAAAAGGTAAAAAACAAAAAACCACCCAAACTCTCTTTTTTTTATAAAAGGGGAAAAAAGAGAGCCTTATGCGTTGATAGGAAGAGAGTATGCCTTGATTGCCTAAGATATGGCTGTGTTTCAATAAAATCCTGAACTTTTCAATCTTACCAGAAGAAATGTGAGGCAAGGGATTTGGGCCTGGAAAACTCAGCAGCTGATTTCCCAGAAGGAAAGTGAATGGAATTTCCCTTCCGAATGCCTTACATTAAACTAAATCTTCCTGATGGGAACAGGATGAAGAGTAGTGCTTTAAATATATCGCTGACCTCAGAGGAGGGTGCAAGTTCTAGGCACGTTGAAGGGCAGAGGAAAGTGTTGGAGTGAGAAAAGGAGAGCGTGTTGGCCTGAGGGGAGCGGGGGAGACCAGGTCCTCTCCCAGGGCTTGTGCCTCAGGGCTGACAGGCTCCCTCAGGTAGAGCCCAGTGAGCTGAATTCCTCGGAAGAGCTCCACTACTTACACTCCTTTTAGGACAGGGTAAAGAGCAAACTCCATCCTTGGTGTAGACCCAGAGTCAGAAGAGCTTTCACACGTTGGTTACACTATTTTCTAGCCAAGTCAGAAAGCTTGTCTTCCCATAGGGAGAGAGAAAAAACCAGAGAAGGGAAAGTGGGGGGCGGGGGAGAGAGAAAACAAATGTGTGTGGAAAGGTTAAGCTAAACCACTTGTGTACACAACACGGTGATAATTTGAGGTTGAATATTTATTGTAGAATCAAGAATGCTGGAGGAGAAAAGGGAAGAAAGGATGTCAAGGAAACCATTCCTTCCCAAGGTGCCCGTTAGTACCAAGGCTGGAAACTAATATGGGAAATTTCCCATCTCTGCCTGCATTCGGGAAAAGAAAAAGAGAATGTACTTTTTTCAGATATTCAGGAAAGCAATCAAAAACATAGGTATGTCCTGAGCATTAGCAGACTGTCCCTTTAATGGAGAGAATGGAGAGGTCTAGTCAGGGTAGCTCTGATTCCCCCACAGGACTAGAAGCCACAGCCCCCCACGTCTGATATCTCCTCTCTTCCTATTGGGTGTCCCCAGAAAGCACTGTACAGGACCAAGTCTGTTGAGTTCTTCTGCCAGAGGCTTCTCGTCCGTGGTTGGCTACCCATAGACTTCCCAAGGACAGTATACCCCTGTGTCCTCTGAGAACCCTATTTCCTTGGGCTGTTTCCAGGGTACCACACTTATTCCTGCTGGTCCCCCTTGCTCCCAGGGGGCAGAAGCTGCAGTAGAGGTCCGGAGAGGGACTGGCCTTCATCCCAGCTGTTCCTGTGTTTGTCCGGACTCTCTGAGAGTCTTTCATGGGCACAAGTTCTTTGACATCTGGGTATGTAATGTTAGACCAGAAGGAAGGTATGGCCCTTCCATACCTCCATGGGCCACCTAGTCTCTCATCCCCCGAACTCTCCCAGCTACTTTCTAGCAGATCTAAATCCCAAACCTCCAAGTGAATGGCTATGTGGGGATGGGTATCTCCCAGTTCCCCTCACTGAAAGCATCCACACCCTGACCTAGGCCCCATGGAGACAAGATGATACACCGCAGAGGAAAATAGGCTGGGTGTGTTATTTTCTTGTATTAGCGTTAGCTTTTACAAAATATGAATGAGAACATTTCTTTACATCAGAAGCCTAAAAACCAGAGTTTCTGTGTGTGGTGGAAGAGTGTGGGAGGGGCATGGGGTGATTTAACAATTTAACCCAGCAAATATTTATTGACTGGTTATG